CCTGCATGGCTTGATTACAAGCAAAGGACAATGAAAGTACATTTACATCTCAGGTAAACAAAGTGATTAAGCCAGTCAAATAAACAAATTGACCAGAGAGGATGAGCAAGACAGCATGGCATCTGCATACCAGTGGGGGGAAAGAACTCTGTCTGGTGTATACATTTCAAAGGAATGCATTTCAAAGGTTTATTGGACTATAAAAAGAAGGGGCGAGAACCCCTTGGTTATCCGTCACTTAGAAGACAAACAGGTGAATGAATTATCCTCTGATACTGTGAATGGTAGATCCTTCTGCCAGGGGCCAGAGATGCAGATAGTTTGATGTAGGTGAGAAAGCTGCTTAGGCAAAGATTATAGCTTGCTAATGTTAAGTTTTAGACTCTAGAAAGGGTATTATTGTTTTTTTCATTTTGTTTGTAACCACGCCCATCTCTTTTTCTCTTACTCAGTATCAATGTTCTTTAGTAATATTTATTTATAGTTTTACTATAGACCATCTCAGTGCTGTGTATTAAGGTAAAGAGTGTGTCCCCAGCAAGGCTAATTGGCTAGCGTATGTGTACTGTCTCTTTGGAGACAGTGGACTTAATCACTTCTGTGCGTCCAGTGAGAGGGAATGAACACTAAGAGAAACGTCTCTGGGGAACTCATGAACTGAGGTTCACTGAATGTTACCTGAAAGACAAGGTTAAGATTGGCAGAGTCCCAAGGGGTTTGCTGGTGAGGCAGACAGACCGGAGTAGAAGGGAGCTTACCCTTAGTTTAAGCTCCAGTAAAGCTCTCTCTTGCTGAGTCAGAGGGGTAACATACTGGCTTACGCTTCTGGGCTCTCTGAGGAGAGCGTCACGGTAGTGTTGTCAACTCTAGTGATAATTTTTTATCATGAGATAGGTGATATTTGGTGGTTTTGCTTAAAGCCCCAGCTCTTGGATTCATGTGATTAAGGTGAGAATGTCAGCTTTCATTTAAATAAAACAAAAACAAAAATAACTAGCTAGCTCTCTTGGTTGCAGAGAAGCTTGAAATCATGATCCAACTGCCTCCTGAAAGCTCAGAAAATAAAATAAAATTAGCCCCTGATTGATTTATTTTTTGAAATAATGTGAGTTTTAACCAAATCTTGTGATTTTTTGAGGCCCAACAAATGATTTTTTGAACACATGGAGTTGGCAATACTGCAAATAGCAACAGGAACCAGGGAGCAATTTGAAGCCTTGTTCTGCTGAACCTAATGCTGCAAAACAGTCAGGAACTGTATTTTAAAAGAACTTGTGAAGCGCTCCCTGTGCCTGGCCAGGCCAAAGGGATTGTTTCCATTAGGCAACAAAATGGCATGCTAAAGCAGACTCCTAGAAGGGGTAGGTAATAAAAACTTCTGGTGTGTGTGAGTTGACTGTAGCCAGAGGGAAAAATGGGGCTGGGGTGGCCATATTGCCTACCCTGGCGGTGGCTTGCTCCGAACTGTACCCTGCCATAGATGATGGCTTGCTACGAATTCTCGATAGGGTGGCCCATGGAGCCACAAGCTCTGATAAAAAAAAAAGGGGGAGAGCGCAGCCTGGAGTGCCCTGCTTTAGAGGGCGTTAAAGGGTTAATATGTCTTCCCACGCTGTGGTCACTACATTGGCTCCCGCACTGCACCCACACGGTGTAGGGAGAGCTCTGCTGCAGCCAGTGGTGTTGGTCACCCAGGAAAAGGCTCTGTAGTCTCTGTGCCTCTACGTCTACTAGGGCTGCAGCATGGTGCTAGGGGGCGCTACGCTGCCGAAGCTGCCATCTTTGAACTGAGGCAGCACATCCAGCTGCTGACTTTTCATGGGCATTAAAAAAATCTTCTAGCATCTTTCCCACGAGTTGGATGATGGCGAACAGAGTCTGACCGTGATGAGGCAGAAGTCTGAAGTCCTTGAATTTGGCATCTAGGTGTCATGGTGATTGGTGCATTCTCTTATGTGTATGTTTATGGCACTGTGTAAACCTAACTCAGCTGAGTTACCATTTCTTTCACTGCATTTAAATGTGAACACTTAATGGGGCCCATTATAAGATTGCTCTGGACTGTTGCATCTTTTATTGAGAATAGAGTCCCTGGCTTTAAGACACCCCCGCACCCCCACCCTACCCCATCTTTTGGCAAAACGTGTAACAAATCTGCACTCTGTTTGAACATGGATTGAAGCATCCATGGCAGTTCCTCCGATTTAGTGTCATCCAAATGATGGCTGCCCCACTTTGTGAAAAATGACAGTTTTTATGAGAATGTGGCAGAGACCTGAAGGGTTTTGTAGCTACAAAGGCCCACTGTCCCTAAAGAGTCCTCCTTAGTGTACCCAACCAATATACAGCTTAATAGAGAGGGTCTAATATTTCTTGGGTGAAGTACACTAACAGATCCAGATAAAATGGAAAGAGCTTGGAGGCTGGAGAGTTTTACTGCTTCAATGTTATGTCCCAGTTCCCAAAATGTATTTGTTAAAGTAATTTCAAACTGTCATAGCAATTAACTTATCTTTTCATTTTTCGCTGAGCAGTCCCTCTAAGCTAAACATGCAATTCTCTTCTATAAATCTGTATGACAAGTAGAGCAGTAAAATCTATCTTTATATCATTTCTATGCATTTTCCATAGGCTAAGTTCCTAGGCCCGTTTGCTTGGCTAATTTTGTTGGTTCCAAGTGCACATCTCAACACTAGAAGAGACCTAGGAGACTCATGGTAGAAATGCAATTTGGATAACTGGCAAAGCCATATCTTGCATATTTTCACAAAAGAGTGAAATTTTAAAAAGTGGGCCTCAGATCAGATATAGAAGAGCTTTACATCATGCTGTGAGTAAGTGGTAATACATAGCTATGCCAGGCCAGGAGCAGCCAGCTGATGGGGGTGGCTGAGTGGGCATAATCTGTGCCAGACCTTTACAAGTTATGGCTCCCCTGCACGTACTGAGTTCTCCAGACCCCTCTGAACCTACACTCTACCCATAGCACACACACTGGCCATCGAGCTAGCCCACAATGCAGAATACAAGGGACTTTCCATCCCTTACTCCCTTGCACAGAGTGCAAGTTACAGTGCATAGCTGGGGTCATTTAATGGCTATGTCCTCTGATTACAGTACTCTTGTACTGCTCCTTGTTTCTTCACTTATGTAGTGCTGCAAGAAAAAGATGGTGAAGAAACAGAGCTGGCTGTAGTGGTGTTTCCTTACATGGATCCATTGTTCTCCCTTTGCTTTCCTCCTCCCCCATCCCCACTGTTCGTGCTTTGTCTGAAATTTTAATCCCTTTACCCATGGAAGTACTGACCCTGATGCATTAATGTCCTTTCTTTTAAAAAAAAAAAGGAATTAATCAGCTTAGCGTGGACTGGATTACATTTTAATTTTAATAGTGCTAACGTCTTTAGGTACAATTTGCAGTCTCTTAATTTTAGCAAGTCAGAGTCCTTTTCAGTCAGACTGTCTGAATGTAACTTTTTTATTGTGGCAACCTAACAGAGCATCGTCCTTATGCACTAGGCCTAGTAGTAATCTAGTATATGTGCATTTTCATGGAGTCATATTGTCTTCATTAGGCATAATGGCTAAGATGGGTAGCTGGGTCCTGAGAGCAGGTTTATCTCTCCATTAGTAATTAAGGTGGAGATTTAGTCAAAGGCACAAAGGGGCACTAGGCATCCAACTGGGAACTGAGGGCCTAGCTTCCCTTTGTGCCTTTGAATAGCTGCCCATAAATACAGAGTAACTGTTAGAATTTTCTTCAGCTATGGATTGTAGTGTCTCCAGAGTTCTGTGTAACTTGCAATTATAATCATGATTAATGGCTTAATTTTACATGGGAACCTTGGATGCTTATAATCAGCTGGAAGACGCCCTTCTACCTGAATTTCTTCAATAGGTAAAGACTGCTTTATATTTAAAACCAATTATAAATGAGGCATGTAGTAATTTTTAATTTTTTTGGCACTACTGAAAGATGGGCGCTTGCAGGTAAAATGAAAATAATTTTAAAAGCTCATAAACTATCTCAGGAAACAGAGTGGCATGATTATTTCAGCCTGTCCCACCCACTTGTGGTTTTATAACCAAGTTTGAATATAGGAATTAACTGGGTCACGCCAATTGTCCATCTAGTCTGGTATCTGTCATCCACACTGATCAATACCAGCTGCTGCAGAGTAAAGTGCAAGAAAACCCATAATTGACAATTATGGAATAAGCTGTCATTGGGGGAAGTTTCTTAACCCTTAGGCAGTAGAGTAAAAGCTGTTCATCAATCTTACAGTGTCTATATGTTCTTTGAGTCTAATATTTGGTAGTTTATACATACAGTATATAACAACTTAAAATATGCACATTTGTCTAACGTACGTACACGTCCCAACTACCATCTTTGCCTTTGTTACAAGGGTATCATTGTCTATATATTTTTTTTAATTTCTTGATTAAAAGTTCATTATTTGGTTAAAGAAAAAGTAAAGCTTTGATACTGTGAGGGCAGCATGGAGTAGAATAAGGATTTCATTTTCTTTTCTCTTTTTTTTTGCACTTGGGCCAAGATTTTCAGAAATGGGTGCCTCAAGTCAGTGGGACTTATGCAGCTAAATCCCTTAGATACTTTTGAAAATCTCATTCTTAAGTAGGCACTTAAATAACTGGCCTAATTGTAAAAGGTGCCACAGGCAGCAGGTGCTCAGCACTCTTAAAAATCAGACTATATATTTAGGTGTCTAACTGTGGACGTGAGTCTAAGTATAGACACTCATTTCTAAAAATTTTGGCCATAGGTCCTTGCAGATAGAGGTTTAAATAACACTATCATCTCCCTGGTCAGTGAAATCGTTTACGTAAGAGAAACTGATGGTCAACTGTATTATTAATTTCACCCCTCCTTTTAGGATTTGCTCTTGCACCATGTCCTGTTCATTTCCTCCTCGTTGGCAGGCAAATACAACACTGTAATTACAAATGTGTGTGAATCACTGATGGCTTGTTCTTTATTTGCATCTATTGTTTAATATAATAATTAAAAATCTCAAACAAGAACGCGGCAGTGTTCAAATTAACTTTCCCTAATGGTTAAACTCTCTCCTCAGCAATTATCTGGGCTGCATAGTTGCAGTGGCTAGAAACAAATGTAGATATGTCACAGCAGGCATATATCTCCTTTACACATGTATCCATACATTCTAAATAAGCTAAACTTGGCCTCCTCAGAGGAAGTTTATTAGGTAGCATATAAGTAAGAGAATGTCAGTGCAGAAGAACGTAGCATCTGAATAATTGTTTCCTTCCACTAGATAGGTGAAGATGAGACATTTAATAAAAATAAATGGCAAAGTAAAATCAAGATATATATTTTTTACAGTAGCAGACATTACCCAGTGACAGAATTCACTTAAATACCTTGAGCTAAATTTATCCTTGGTGTAACTCCACTGAAATCAATGGCATTACACCATAATAAAAGTGGCCCATTTGCTCTGTACTGCCAAATGGCTCATGTAGATGAAATCATTTTGTCTGATGGAAACTGGTGTTCAATTTGCCATTATTGATTAATTGCACTCTTGAGAACAGATCTGTAGTGTGCATTAATAATAATACCTCACACTTTCATAGGGCCTCCAAGCCAAAGATCTTAAGGTGCTTCACAAATATTAATGAGTTAAACGTCTCATCATCCCCCTGTGAGGTAGGTATTATTATTCCCTGTTTGACAGATGGGGAAACTGTGGCACGGAGAGGCTAAGTGACGTGCCCATAGTTACACAAGAATTCTGTGGCTGTGTTTGGAATAAAATCCAGGTCCCTTGCTTCCCATTTTTCCAATTTAATCACATGACTTTCCTTCCTCCTCTTGTCTTACATCAGCCAATCAAAGAAGAACTGATTCATGAAAGCATTTTAAAATATAAAACTAGTTTCTGATTGGCTAAAATTTTATTTTAAAATGCTAATACTCAGAAATGCATTGATTAAATAAGGAATTACTCCTCTATTAAGACTCTGTGGAATATTTCTATAGTTCTTCTTGCATAACGGTGGTTGGTTTAGATTTGAAACTGCTATTATAAAATGTACTCTTTACATGAGTGGAACAAAACCCTGATCTGTAGCATAGGAAAGAGGTGGGAGGATGGGATATAGGAATATGCCTTCTTTGAGATATTGGTCCATTTTTTGACTTCTGTTCTGTTTTACCTAGGGATTTTAGGGATATATTTTCTCCTTTATGACAACACTAATCTCTCATTACTTACATACACGTGCAATGAAGGGGGAATATATTTCTTAGTTTGTTTCTTTAATCACTTTCATTTAGACGAAATCTAACATTGAAATGTTTAATTTAAGCAACAATAATTGAGGCACAGGATAAATTCTAGGGATTGATGATAGGCTAGGAAGAGTTTACTCCAGCCAATCACTAAATCCCTGCAGAAAAGTCAAAACTGCTATTGTAAACTGAAAATGTAAAAGCACAATAAGTATGTAGAGATTTTTTTCTTGAAGTGGGATTGCTGTTTCATTTGGTATGTGTAGGCTATTGCAAGAGACTTAATGCTCTGTACATTATCTATATTATTTACATCCTCTCTGTCGACATTCTAGTCAGCTGTATAGTTTAATCATATTGTTGAGTGATCTTCCAACTTCAGCACACAATGATCTGAGTTCAGGTCTGACCACCCTGGTATGCACCAACTTGGCATCCAGATGCTCTGATTAATGACATCACTTCCACAGCTCAGCATGCTTCGGCATTTTCCTTAAGAAGTAAGGAAAGATTAAATGTGACCTGTTGCAATTTTGTACAAAATTCTGTATCTTCCTGTCAGCGTTACTAGAAAAGGAAGAGGAGACAACACTGTCTGTGAAGCATGGAATGCCATTTGCAGAAGCATGCTACTGTTCTCTTGAGCAGCTACTAAAGAATAATTTAGACTTTTATGCCAGTTACCAGAGTCCAGCTCATTGAAGTTCTACCATGCTACTTATGGCCACATTTATCTTTAAAATGGAGGTGCACCCGTAGAGACAAACAAGTTCCAGAATGTAACTTCCCTCTTGATCCAAAAGGCCTAAACAATAGGGCAGCTATAGAGTATAGCTGCTCTGTTGGAGACAAAGCACTGCATGCTGGGAAGTATTTTCTCTGTGGGCTGCATTTTTCTGTTAGAAATAAAGGCAGCCTTTGAGTTCCTGGAGAGGTGCCAGGCCTCTCCCTACACTGTTCTCTGCATTGAGCTATGAATAGGGCCCTACCAAATTCATGGTCCATTTTGGTCAATTTCACGGTCATAGGATTTTAAAAATCATAAATTTCATGATTTCAGCTATTTAAACCTGAAATTTCACAGTGTTGTAATTGTAGGGGTCCTGACCCGAAAAGGAGCGTGTGTTGGGGGGTGGTTCTGGTGCTGCTACCCTAACTTCTATGCTGCTGCTGGTGGCGGCGCTGCCTTCAGAGCTGGCCACCTGGAGAGCAGCAGCTGCTGGCTGGGAGCCCAGCTCTGAAGGCAGAGCCGCCGCCAGCTGCAGCACAGAAGGAAGGACAGCATGGTATGGTGTTGCCACCCTTACTTCTGCACTGCTGGTGGCAGGGTGCTGCCTTCGGAGCTGGGCACTTAGCCAACAGCCACTGCTCTCCGGCCACCCAGCTCTGAAGGCAGCGCAGCAGTAAGGGTGGCAATAGTATGACTCCCCTAAAATATCCTTGCAAAGCCCCTACAACTCCCTTTTGGGTCAGGACCCCCAATTTGAGAAACTCTGGTCTCCCCCGTGAAATCTGCATAGTATAGGGTAGAAGCAAACAAAAGACAAGATTTCATGGGGAGAGATCAGATTTCACGGTCCGTGACATGTTTTTCATGGCTGTAGGTTTGGTAGGGCCCTAGCTATGAAGAGACGAAGCAAAAAGAGCTAGCCATTCCTGGATAAACTCCCCATTCCTGTACACTAATCAAAGGCTCCGGTTGGTTACTTTCCACCTCCGTTAGAGGGGAAAGCACTCACAGTCGCTTTACTGCACACCAAGGCCCGTTTGTAAGGAGTGAACAGGCTTATTTAAATTTCCAAGTTGTCATTGTAAATAAGCTCCAGCGCTCATGCTGCCCAACTTTGGGGGGGGGGGGATTTCTTGGCTTTACTTTACCATTCCTCCCCATTTTTAATTCAAAACAAACTAATTGCCTAGACTTGGTAGAGTGAATTCTGCAGCTCTCACCCAGGCAGCAATTCCACTTATGTAATGGGAGGTTTGTGTAAGGACTGCAGGATTTTGCCTGATGGCTTGATGAAAGTAGATCCTAAAAAGATGCCATTTGTTTATAAGCAAAGGAAAAAGAAAAACAATGGTCTAAAGTGAGCTCTGTTTTCATGTAGAGCTTTCAAAGCTGAGTTCTTATTAAGCAGTCTAACAGTTGTCTATTTCAGGCCCCTCAGCACAGCCATTGGAACTCACACTTTAATCCAGCAGCGGCAGCTGGGTGATTCTTTTGTGGTAGTTGCCCTGGCCTAGATTTCCAGAGGTATTTAGGAACCTAACTCCAATTGAAATAAATGGGAATTGGCACCTAAATCCCTTTGAGGATCTGGGCCCCAGTGCACATCAGGCACTATCAGTATTGTCCAGTATATATATACAGTAGCTGTTGGGCAAACCAAGAGAGCAGAGGGGAGATGGGGATTTGGCGTACAGAGTAATTGACACACCAAATTCTCTGGGAAGCCTTGGACTAATGTGCCGTTGCAGGACATATCCAGTGCTTTATGCTCCACAGGTACACTAGTCGAACTGTTTTTCTAGCTTAGCAGCCAAACTGAATTTTTTAAAAAATACATCCACACAGTCCTGTGAAGGGCTTTTGCTTCGGTATGTCTAGCAAAAGACAGACCAGTATATCAAGTTAAAAAATATATAGGTGCCTGGGAATATTATTCTTGAGTATTTATCAATCGCGTGGGTGTTCTGGATGATGCGCAGGCCAACATGGCCTTTCAGCCCTCTCTTTCTCGATGAATTAGATTCATTGCTCATGGCCAAATGAACCACCATCTTATCCTGTTTTTCTTCCTCAATCACTATCTGGCTTCTTGTGTATCCTGCCAGACTGTTGGCATCAGATTCACTGTAGGTTCCATCCAGCATCATCGTTTTTGTATTAGGTATTCCACATGTACATGGAAACTGAGAAAGAAACGAACAAGCAAACAATAGTCAAACACTGAACGAAAATAGTGGAGGCAAAGATGAGAGCTTTCTTTTTATGGACAGCTTGATGAAGTGAGCTGTGGCTCACGAAAGCTCATGCTCAAATAAATTGGTTAGTCTCTAAGGTGCCACAAGTACTCCTTTTCTTTTTGCGAATACAGACTAACACGGCTGTTCCTCTGAAACTTGTAAACACTGGAGCTGCACATTATAGTTCAGCTGTGATATGGTTCTCTATTAAAGCTTAAGTTTTCTGACACGAAAAGTTGCTGACTAGCCATACTGGTTGCAACTTTATATTGGGTCCGGGTTTGTTTCTGAAATCCTATGTGCTAATTAGGGATGGGAAATTGGTTTGATTGAAATAAAACCTGACCGGGAGTTTTTCCCAGTTAATTCAGTTCCCTCTGGCTGCTTTTGCATTCCTTTTCATGTTCAGTTTCTACGGATATTATAGCGCAAGAGGCAGTAGTAATGTTTGTGGAAACAGCATTTTAAGCAAAGATGAGAAAAATACTGACAGAAAGTAAGTTTTGATGTCATAAATGTAAGTATTCCCTCTGGAAACCTGATTCTAAAGCTTACACATATCCAGCCGGAGAACAGGAAAAATATCTGGGGTGAAACTCATCCCACTGGTTTAATCAAAACAGCTAATGCATCTCGAATTCTAAATACCAAATACTCATAAGCACAGTGCTCATGAACTCACTGACAAAGTAAATAATTTGGCAAATGATTTTGGACAACAAAACAAACTGCTCACAGACAATTCATAAACTGAAAAAAGAGTCTATTGTCTCAGTTCCAGTTGTAGCAAAATGATGTCGCTGGTCAATGCACATGGGCTCAAGTACTGTTACAAGAACTGTGGTATTCTTCAGACCTAGGCTACAACACAGTTGTTCTAAATAGCTTGTTCCCATCAGTGATGGGATTTTTTTTTTAGAACTCTGTTTGGCTACAACCCAATTTAAACTGTGTTTATAACACACTTGCCTTCAAGCTAAGTATAAAATGTAAGTACAGGTGGAACCCATGATCTTTGATCTTTTAAATGTAATTTTATTTTTGTCTCTCTATGAGCAGCCACATTATATTCCTTAATCTCCTAAATCAGGATCTTTAGCATCAGGCCCATTCGTTGACCAATCCAGGATGCAATAGTAAGCACCAGGTTGCTACAGGCCAATTGCTGCAGGACCCAAGAGGAAGAGAAATACTGTTGGACCCAGGTGACTCTTAGTTAGAGTATGATTTGGCCTGAGGGAAGGTCACAGACAATGACTAGGAGCTGAATGACTCTGATTTATTTAATAGGTGTTGTGTACACTGCCAGGTGTCTAGGAAGATAGTGGGAGGAGAGAGCAAGCCCAAAGTTGAGATGGTTCTGGTCCCAATGTAGTCTTAATCCATCCCTGATGTATTCCCATGTACACATGTGCACACACAAATATAGGGAAGAGACGTGCTGAATGACTTCAGGCCACCATACTACCACAGTCCATTTCTGGGGAGTGCAAAAATCCAAATTTGGATTCCCTGGGACTTTCACAGCTGAATGGCATTGGCTAAAGAGGTCAACATTTATTCCAGTGAGAGATAATAGTCTCTTGTGTCTCTTAAAGAGCCCTCACTCCACTCAGACACTAAGCCATACTTCCCTATAACCCCATTAGAGATAACAAACACACAGTTTCCTTGATGATCCTTAATGATTATTATTGCCTTGTATCTGAGGGTAAATAAAAAGCTCTTGATTTGTATAATCAGCCTTTTCAGCCTGCTTCCTTTATTGCATGGTGATACAATTCAGTGGAGGGATATCAGCAATTGAAAGAAAATTTTTGACGCAAATGACAAGTTGTGCCATCACTGAGCTGTCCTGAAAACTTACCAGCACAGGCACAAAAACCTACTCATCCTCTTTTTACCATGGTGACAGATAACGAAAAAACTAATGATATTTTACTTGCCATAAAAATGACCTGCTCTGGGTCAGTAGAATTTATCAAGGCTGAATTATTATTATTTGCTAAGCACTGATGTGTTCAGAGTTTAGACAGGACAGAAAGAGTCTATGTTCTGCGGATCTTATAGTCTAATAGAGAGGCACAGATACAACAAGATGCACTGGAATACCCGAAGGAGTTGGCAGGCTTAAGTGAAGCTTTGTGTGTGTGTGTGAATAGTTTCCCTGTATTCACTCTCTTCTCCTCTAAACAATGTTGGAGGGGAGAAATCATTAGACATGAATAAGCATTTGTCATGGAAACAATGAGATTCTAGGGGGGATTTGAAAGAGGGAGGAGCATTGGATTGGCATGTCAGGATTTGGAGGTTATTCTATACATAGAGTGTAGAATGGGAGGAGGCACAAAGTGATAATGTTTTAACTTGATACAGAGGGAACTGGTGGAGGGATTCAAAAGTAACGTAATTGTCCAACCATTAGTCAAGCAAGATAACTTTTGCAGCTGCATCTTGGACAGATTGAAGATGCATCAGAGAGAGGATTGCCTCAGTAATCAAGGTGGGAGATAACCAGGGCACAGACAGAAAGGTCGTATTTTTTAAATGGGAAGGAAGAAGCGGTATGGGAGAAGTAGGAGTCAAAAATGACCTGAGGTTGAAAGCCTCAATCATTGTCCAGAAGGATGGTGATTTGATGAATGGCAATGGCGAAGGAAAGGAGGTTTAGGAGGACAAATAAATGTTCAGTTTCAGCAATGTTGTGTGTGATCTGGCAATGAACTGTCCAAGGCATGTTGCAGAAACACTAAGATATGCAGGCCTGGACATCAGGGCAGGCTGAAAGGCAGATTTGTGAATTATCAGCACAGAAATGATAGCGGAAGTTGTATGAGTGGATGAAGCCATGCAGTGACAAGATGTAGAAGAAGAGAAGCGCACCACAAATTCAGTCCTGTGGAACTCCTGTAAAGAGCAGGAGAGCCACCAAGAAAGTATAGGTTCTCAAAAGCCAAAGGTGGACAGATATTAAAGAGGAGGCAGTGTATTGTGGGGTTGCAGAGAGGTATTAGAGAGACTGTAGTACTGAAGGTTGCAGCGGGCTTATGGAGAATAAGAATGGAGCAGAATACATTAGACTCGGTCAAGAAGAGATCATGGGATACCTTGATGACAGCAGTTTCAATGGAGAGGATGGAAACCAGATTGGAGTGAACCGAGAGTGAGGCAAAAGAGAGAAAAGGCAGTAGTAGTGAGCAGCTTCTTCAATTACCTTAGCAGTGTCAGGGAGGTGGAATGGTAAATGGAGAGACAGTTGAGGGATACTATTAGCATGTTTGTGTAACTGGGAAATGATGGAATCAAAGGGACAGCTGGAGGGATGGAAAATAGAGAGTGAGACCTCAGAATTCATAACTGGGCCAAAGGAGGAAAGCTTATTGAAGGCCAAGGAACTGTGGCAGAGGAGCATGAGGTGAAGGAGGCTCATGACAGATCTTGAAGATTCAGGACTGAGGAACAGACTGATTAGAGACAGCTAATATTTACACACAAACTCCTTTCAATACCAACCATGAGAAAGGAGGTACAGAAAAGGTATTCAGCCATTAAATAGGCTTTCAGTGAAACAGGTACATTTTTTTTAAAAGATTCTTTTAAATTACCCAACAACATGCGTGAAAAGCATAAAAATGATTCGCTTAGCACCACGGCCTTTCATGGCATATTAAAAGAATAAATATAAAGACTGTTTGTTGCTTAAGTGTGTTTTGTGCCAAAAAACAATTCTACTATTACCTTTATTGAACCCAATATTTAAAATGTACCTGATTGTGAGTTAGAGGTCTTTAATTCACTCAGAATAATCCATTAGCTGTAACTTTAAAAATAAATTGTGGCGACCACAGGGAAATATCACTCTGGATTTCCCCCCTCTTACTCTCCACATATGGTCTCTGCCAAAGTCCCAGGTTGCAAACATCCCCAGTTCTGATCTTTGTTTTGTTCTCTCTTCCTTTTGTATAATCATCATCATCAAAGAGATCAACTCCTGTTTTTGTGGTGTCAGTACTTCAGTGTCAGCTTCAGCATTGTAGACAAATTAATCACACACCATGAATGTCAGAGTTTTCCCATTCCGTTTCCCAAAACACCCAATATAAAGCACGTCACATCTAAAAAGATTGTCTCTCACCTTCTCTCGCAACTTCCTTTCCTTCCGTTCTTGCACTGTGGTAAGGTAGTTCACTGCTGCGTATTCCAACACTGAGAGAAAGACGAACACAAAACTGACCCAGAGGTAAATGTCCACAGCTTTGATGTAGGAAACTCGAGGCATGGAGGCGTTTACACCAGTGATGATTGTTGACATGGTCAGCACTGTGGTTATCCCTGGAAAAATCCCCACAAAAATGTACTTCATATGCCAAATATAGTTCAGAAGGCATCTACTATTAATTAGTTTTGTCTCAAAATACGGTACTATACTCAGCACCATTCATAGCCTCTAGAAATGATTTATTAGGTCATCTTGTCTAGCTGCCTCACAATGCAGGATTTTCCCCTACACTGCGTTCCTGAGCACTCTGTCTAGTCAAATTTTTAAATGTAATGGAGCAGCCACCACTTCCCTTGTGATTCTCTTTAACTCTCTAGTGTTTAATTAGGAAGTGATGCTTCAGCCCTAACCTACAGGGACCACTCATTAGATTGCCATTTAGTCATTTTTTTCTGCTTTAGCTATCATCCAGTGTGCCAGTGATGATAAGGACTCTTGGTTCACTGAGAGCATCAATTTGTTTTACACAGTTCACCAAACAGCAGTCAATGACCAAAGACTTTTGGTCACTGCTGAAGTGGACTTGACTGGAATCATTGTCTCAAAAGGTGAAAGCCATTTATGTTAAATCTTGTGTGTGAGTGTGGAAATGTCTTGCATGACATGATGTGACAGAAAAGTCATCATGTGCTCACCTTAGCTAAGGTAATTGAAAAGTTTTGAATGGCATCCACTGTATCCATAGTATACATTTTACAGTTAAGCAGGTACTCTGTGGTGATAAAAGTAAAATACTTTCCCTAATTTTCACCAGTTTGCAATAGCCGCTTAACAACTGAGTGCCAGAGCCAAAGAGCATTTGTGTGACTTTAATCAGGTCTTTCCAAACTAGTGAAGTTCTGTCACTTGAGCAGACTCTGCTGCTTTTTTCAGATGCTTGTTACAGTGTGTAGCTCTATAAGTATCACAAACTATGGGAATAACATGCTATTTTTACTCTGTATTTATAAGAAGTCATATGCACTCATATTCAGAGAGATACAGTAGACTTTTCATTACATCTCAGTCTCTCTCTGACCTAGACATTAATAACTGAGCACATCTGTTTCTTTTTTTGTTTTTTAAACAAAAGAAATTCCAACAGTCCTGAATTAGACAAAACTCTCATTTATTTTAAAGCCCATTTCAGGACTGCTAGGTTGGGTCTATAATTAGAAATCTTGATTCACTAGTTCACAAACACTGGAATCTCTTTTCTGTACTTCCATCTCTTTTTAAAATACAGTTCCATCTTCTGCCCTGATTTAAATTCAGATCTAGAAGATTTATCAATCACGAAGAATCAATTCAACAATGAAGAACATAAGACAAAGCACAGGCCTTAGACTACTTTAATTATCAGATAAAATACACATGTATTTTCCTAGCATATTTAACAAATGAAACAGAGAATTCCCCCTCCCCCTACTCTTCCTAATTCAAAGGTTTTGCCACACTCATGGTTGATGTTAATTGCCCTCACCTAGTGACACTCTAGCAGGTACAGCTCTGCGATCAATCCAGAAGGACACCCACGATAGCATGACCATTAGAGTGGCAGGGAAATAGGTTTGGAGCAAGAAGAAGAAGATGTGGCGGTGTAAAGTGAAATTTATGTATAGTCTATTGTACCATCCTGTTGGGAAGGGGAAAAAGTGTCATGAAGAGCATTTTAATGACACATACAGAGCTGCTACATCTTTCAGAAAATCATATATTTACTTTAGAAGAGTAGACAACCTATATATTGTGAATATATACAGGGTGGGGGGATTCTATATTCTTCAGATCGTTCACAGCACATAGACTATAATGATCTATAATCCCAAAGATGACAAGGGCAAAGGGAAAGAGACAAGGACTATTACTCAAGTACTTCTTACAAAAATTTCATTTAAAATTTCACCTGGCAAATGTTTGAAATTGAACTATAAATATATGGCAAAAGAATAATAAAACCATTTTAAGAAGAATGATACCAGTGCTACTGTAGAAAGCAAGTCTGGAAGTAGTATGAAACTTTTGTATCAAAAACTGAGACAAGGAAATCTTCTCATCGGTTTTCAGGGATTCATTCCCATTTTTCCAGTAAAGCATCAGATCTTCATCAGTGTAAGCATCTTCAGAAAAAAAGAAAAGAAAAAAAGACACAATGTGACTTGGCTTTAGGATATTTCACGTAAACAGTCAGTATTAAAAGTTACTATGTTACTATGTTACTAAGTTACTATGGATAAGGAACATATTAGTGAGATTCACAAATGATTCTAAGGCCACAGTCCTGCTTGGTGCAAGGGTCCATGTTTCATGGACTCTGGTGCAGGATCAGGCTCTGAATTAGGGAATATCACAAATACTAGTGAGGACAGACTAATAATGCAAAAGGTACTAAGGAGGTTGGAAGTATGGGTGGAAAATAACATTGAATTGTGTTTGGAAAAAATGCAGATGAATGTATCTGCAGAAAATAACCTGAAACACAGATACATCTTTGGAATGCAGTAATGCCAAATAAATAGGGTTTTTAATGGACAGTAGATTAAATAAGGATCTTGCCCTATGATGTAATGTAGCAGCACAAAAAGCCAAACAAAAGACATCACATCATGGTCCATGTCCGCCTTTATACAGCACTGGTGTATAACTAGAATGGTACATTTCTGATCACCACACTACCAGAAAAATGTAGACGAATTAGTGAAGATTCAGAGACGAACACCAGAATTGATTAAGGGGCTGAAAAGATGGGTTTATGAGGAAAGTTTATAGGAAGTAATTATGATTAATCTGGCCAAATTTAGGGGGAAAATGAGAGACAGCCATCTAAAATCTTATTTGAAAGATGTAATTGAAGGTGAGAGGTATCACCATAGGTAACAAGTCAACAAATATTTGAAGGGTATAAACACAAAAGAGAGAGAGGAATTATTTAGTGCGATATATGAGCATAATGAGGGAAGAAAGGGATGAAATTTAGCAAAGGAAAATTGAGGCTAAATATCTGGAGAAACATCAGAACAATTAGGTAACTGGTCTTGGGAGACTGATGAATAATCTCCTGAGGATAGCAGTGGAAACACTGTTGTTTAAGACATTTAGGGCTGGATTTACAAAAAGGATTCAGGCACTTAATTGCCACTTTAGGTGCCTCGATCCCAGAATCAGGCCCCAGTGGGATTCACAAATTCAACTAAAATTGCTCAGTGCCTAAATTTTTCCAGTAAAAGTTCCTTCAACACTTATGTTTCTGCCTTTGCACATGTGCGCTGCAGCCCCACGCCAGATGTCCAGATGCCTCAGCCCCAGAGCGACGCATGAATCTAGAGAAGACAGGCTTTCCTTTGCCTAACTTTCTCAGACTTACCCAATGAGGCCCATATAGACAGGCTTACACAAAACACCGAAGGAGGAGAAAGAGGATTTCCCTCATAACTTTTTAGTTCAACGGTAGGGTGACCAGACATCCTGTTTTTAAAGGGACAGTCCCGTAATTTAAGCCCTCCTGCAGGTGTCCTGACTTTTTCTTAAAAACAGGCAAATTGTCCTGTATTTTCTATCCCTCCTCCCCACATCAGTACTGACAGGTCCTGCTGCTGGCCAGATCCCTGCTCATCAGCCACCCTCCCACCAATGGTGAGTGGGGGGGAGGGGGTCCAGTGGCCGACGATGGGGGTGGGTGTGCAAGGCGGGTGGCAGGGCAAAGCTGCAGCACGCAGGGCCAGCTGATCCATCAGCACAGCCCTCGCTGTATGCCGGCTCTCGGCCAACAGGGCCCTGCCCCCATCCCATCCCATTTCCAGCTGGCACTGGCTGTGCGCTGAGAGTTGCGGTGGCTGATGAGTGCGGACAGACACCAGGCAACAGCCAGTTACATGTCACCCCTGTTTCCCACCCATCAGCCCTTTACGTGCTCCCCCTCTCACTGTCGTCTTCCTGCTTTGTCCCTTTGCCCCCCTGGAACCCCATTGCTCCTCCATATCCCCATCAGTGGGACGTGTCCCACTCCCAGAGCTGTGCGGAAATTAAGCTTCTGGTCAGAGCACTCAGCTCAGCAGCAGCCTGGCCAGCAGGCTCCCTCCCTTCCCCACTGCCTCTGGCTGGGCTGGGGTCCTGGGAAAGCCCAAGACCCTCCGGCTCAGGGTGCTCGCCAGGAGGAGGCGAGCTCTCCATATGCCAAAGCCCCACCCAGCGCTGGCATGGGGAAGCCTCTCTGCCCCTCAGCTAAACTCTGGAGTGGTGGGTGGGGGGAGAGGGGAGAAGCAATTTCCCGCTTGTTCATGGCCCAAACCTGCAGGCTCCACAGCAGCCTCCAGGGCAGGGGCTTAGCACCCTCTTCACACATCCCCGACCCCAGCCCTGGGTCTTGCCCCCAGAGAGTGTGGGGCTGCTCTGTCCCCTAGGCACCCTCCCCTGCTGAGCCACCTCTCTGGCCAGTTCGCTGAAGCCCCTGCAGTCAGGTTCCCTGGGCCCTGGTGCACAATGCATCCTTAGGGCTCAACCCCTTCCTGCCCGCACTGTAGCCGGTGGGGACAGGAGGCAGCTGGGTTATGTCATTGGCCAGCAGCAGCCTCGAAGTGTTAGCTGCCTTTCAACACTGTGCAGGCAGGAAGGGACAAGCTGCTTCCAGCCATGAGAGGGTGAGAGAAGAAGAGATTAGCTCTGCAAAGACAGGGGCCAGGTCATCCCTTTCCCCCATCCCCTCTGCGTCTGGAAGCAGCTTCTGTCCCTTCCCTCCCACACAAGGCCAAAAGGCTGCTGCTGGCCACATTCTGGTGTGAACCCTGGCAGAAACTGGGGTGGGGGATGAGTATGTGACCCTGCATGCCGCAACCCCACACACCTGTTGCCTTGGGAAGACGCAGCACCATGTGCCAGGAGAGGCGGGTCCATCCCAGGGGCCCAGCCAGGCATGGAGGGCAGAGAGGGTCAGGTTGGTCGGTCGATCACCCCCCCGTGTGAGAGAGGTGAACGGGAGTGTGTGTGTGTGTGACCTCTCCCTTGTGAACCCTAAAGCCTTAAAGATAAGAATGTAAATAAAAAGAATCCAACTACGCAGTATTTCTTTTTAACGGGCACTCAGTCAACTTGAACGTTTGTACTGCATAGTTCTGTTGGATTGCTGTTGAACTCGCTTGAATATGAGTAATTTCATCAGGTGTCCTTCATTCAGCAGAGGAAAATATGGTCACCCTATCCAGGGGATAGGGCACGCACCTGGAATGTGGAAGTTCCCTGGTTCAAGTCCCCCCTCCACCTGAGGAAGCGACAGGATTTGAACAGGGATCTGTCATCACCTCTAAGGTGAACGCTCTAAGCACTGGGCTATGGGATATTTTGATGTGGGGTTCCCTCAGTCTCACCTGTTGCACTCTGGAGGGACTGGATCTTGTGTCTCCCACCTCTAGAGATGAGTGCTCTATCCACCAGTGAATAAGGAGCCTATGTGCCTAACCCAGGTTTGTAAATCCCAGTGATTTTCTAGGTACCTAAAAGTTTCTTTGTGAATCCAGCACTTAAGCATGAAGGCAACTTCATGCCCCTGGTGAGTCCCATTAAGTTGAACTGAATTACCCAAGTTGAACTCAGTGGGACTGCTCATGTACTTTAGTACTTGCAGGCTCCGGCCTATCATTTGTAAAGCACGTTAGAGTCTTTGGGGATGAAAGGTACATAAATTGAAAAGAGTAGCAATTGTCCTCCATGATGGTTTCAAACATCATCTCCCAAACAGAGCCAACCATCACAACAGGAATTCTGAGTTTTCCCTCCAAGCCAGTATGTCGTAATAGTCACCAGCCCATGGAGTAGGACCCAAGTTTGACTTTCGTTGTTTTTAATTTGTGTCATCTACTACAAACGCTCTCTCTCTCTCTCTCACACACACACACACGCTCCCTCCCTTCACAAATAAGGACCTGATCCAAAGCCCATTGACTCAGTGGAAAGACACTCATTGACTTCAACAGGTATTGACTCAGGGTCTAAAATATTATTTTTCTTTATTCTGAAGTATGTATAACCTACCAATGTGTACAGTCAGCTAAGGGGGACTTGCAGCTAAGAACATCTATACAACTTACAGCTTTCCAGCTCCAGAGAACAAGTCTGTGAGTCCAGGGGAAATCGACTGAAGTCCATGTTGCACATCGCTGTCACTGTGATCCTAAAAATCCAAACAGGAAAGGTTACTTCCTAAAAGAGATGCTGTATTCCAGAAAAGGTAGTGGAAATGTGTCACAGGGCATGGAAAATATAAATTTTAAATATATAAAAATCATTTCCCAGCTTTAAAAACAGAAACTATGCATAATGTATTCACATAAAAGAACTAAGAAACTTCCTAATCAGTACAGAGGCCCTGCCCTTCAAATGTAGACATGGTTGGATGTGCGCAGGCCATGTGAAGGCTTACACCACATCTGCATGCTTATGATTTCCATAGTTGGTGTGGGGCAGTTTGGCTCCCAGTCCAGTTAGAGTAGCTTTCAGGGACTGTCGTAATAGACTGGGGCCCCTGAACACTACTGCAACTCAAACAGCAAACAATAATAATATTTTTAGTGTATTTGAGTGTTGTGGCAGGGTCGGCCCAGATGGCTACAGGAGAGTGATAGAAGGCAGCTATATTAGCCCCAGATTAAGCAAGTCTCTTTTCCCTGGTTAAGGTAACAGGGGCGGTTCCAGAACAATCAGGAACTTGCTGGAACCAATTAAGGCAGGCAGGCTAATTAGGACATCTGGAGCCAATTAAGCAGCTGCTAGAATCAATTAAGACAGGCAGGCTAATCAGGGCAAGTGGTTTAAAAAGGACCTCACTTCAGTCAGTGAGGGGTGTGCAAGGAGCTGAGAGTGAGAGGGTGTGCTGCTGGAGGTCTGAGGAGTACAAATGCTATCTCGCATCAGGAGGAAGGTCCTGTGGTGAGGATAAAGAAGGTGTTGGGAGGAGGCCATGGGGAAGTAGCCCAGGGAGTTGTAGCTGTCACACAGCTGTTACAAGAAACACAGTAGACAGCTGTGATCCACAGGGCCCTGGGCTGGAACCCAGAGTAGAGGGCTGGCCCAGGTTCCCCCTCCCCCCTGTTGGATATAGAGGAGTTGACCTGGACTGTGGGTCCCACCAGAGGGAAAGGTCCCTGGCCTGTCCCCTGACTCACTAAGTGGATCAGCAGAGACTGCGGGGATTGTTCTCCTTCCTTTTCCCCATGCTGGCCAGCGATGAGGTTAGCTGAGTGAACGGCAGGTTTGAGCCACTAGCAAAAGTGGCCAAACTGAGGGCTGCTGAGAACCTCTGAGGCGAGCAAATCTGCCCATAAGCGCAGGACCCACCAAGGCAGAGGAGGAACTTTGTCACAGTGTGTTTTATTGAATCTCTGTCTTATATTAAATTGGTTTCTTATTTAAAAAATATTTCACTGGCTTCCAGAGTATGATGCTTCCTTTATGTCCAGCAAGGTTCAAGCTTCCTGTTCTTCCCTTATTTTGCTTTCACTCTATCTCAGTCACCACAACAAAGCTGCCTGAGTTCCACATACATAAATCAGCAACATAAGCATGAAAGGCCCCTCCATCTATGTACTATTAGGGGAAAGCTGCTTTTCTTAGTGCTGGATCAATCTTGTTTAAACTGTGAGAGCTGATTATTATTGGTGGAGTGGGAGGCAGCTATTTTTCCAGTCGTAAGATTTGCCTCTGTTAAATTCACATCTGAGCTCAGGATCTGAAACAATCCCGGCTTGAGTTTATAAATCTGAATCTAATCAGCCCTATTATGTAATAAATTTACCAGGGAACCAAGAGGTTTTTTCTAATGAACTGATTTGAAGTGAGGCCCTAGATTCAGTAGGGACAGTCCAGATGTGAGTGATCACTTTAAAGTTTATAGCCCTGTTTATGCTGCCTCTTACTACTTCTCTGGTTCATTTCAAATGTTGACAAAGAACCTTTCTGCTGATCAAGGGATTATGGGCCAAATTCTGCCTCGACGTACACACTGATCACCCCAATGAAGTAACTGGAGTTTTATGGTTTATAAATCAGAGCAGAACTTAGCCAAAGCAGATTTTTGGAGCTCAGACTTCGGTCATCACAGCTATCATGGTAACAATTTCTCATAAGAACGGCCATACTGGGTCAGACCAAAGGTCCATCAAGCCCAGTATCCTGTCCTCTGACAGTAACCAATGGCAGATGCCCCAAAGGGAATGAACAGACAGGTTATCATCAAGTGATGCATGCCCTGTCACCCAATCCCAGCTTCTGGCAAACAGAGGCTAGGAACACCATTCCTGCCCATCCTGGTGAATAGCCATTGATAGACCTATCTTCCATGAATCTATCTAGCTCCTTTTGAACCCTGTTATAGTATTGGCCTTCACAACACCCTCTGGCAAGAAGTTCCAGAGGTTGATAGTGTGTTGTGTGAAAAAATACTTTCTGGTGTTTGTTTTAAACCTGCTACCTATTAATTGCATTTGGTGGCTCCTTGTTCTTGTATTATGAGAAGGAGTAAATAACATTTCCTTATTTACTTTCTCTATACCACTCATGATTTTATAGACTTCTATCATATCCCCCCTCAGTCACCTCTTTTCCAAGATGAAAAGTCCCAGTCTTCTTAATCTCTCCTCATACGAAAGCTAATTCTGTACCCCTAATCATTTTTGTTGCCTTTTTCTGAACCTTTTCCAATTCCAATATATCTTTTTTTGAGATGGGGCGACCACATCTGCACGCAGTATTCAAGATGTGGGCGTGCCATGGATTTATATAGAGGCAATATGATATTTTCTGTCTTATTATCTACCCCTTTCTTGATGATTTCCAACATTTTTGTTTGCTTTTTGGACTGCCACTGCACATTGAGTGGATGATTTCAGAGAACTATCCACAATGACTCCAAGATCTCTTTCTTGAGTGGTAACAGCTAATTTAGACCCCATCATTGTATATGTATAGTTAGGTTATGTTTTCCAATGTGCATTACTTTGCATTTATCAACATTAAATTTCATCTGCCATTTTGTTGCCCAGTCACCCAGTTTTGTGAGATCCTTTTGTAGCTCTTCACAGTCTGCCTGGGACTTAACTATCTTGAGTAGTTTTGTATCATCTGCAAATTTTTCCACCTCAGTGTTTACCCCATTTTCCAGATTGTTTATGAATATATTAAATAGGACTGGGCCCAGGTACAGATCCCTGAGGGACACCACTATTTACCTCTCTCCATTCTGAAAACTGTTCTCTACAGTGTTGTCCATCATAGTTAAATACTGTATAACTTTGTATCATTACAATATGCCTTTTTCCTTCCTAATACATGTAGTTATTAACAATTCCTTAGTCAGAGACAGCACAGAAACTCAACCTGTCAATAAGAGATCCCCTCAATTAATGTACATTATAGACCAAATGGTCTTGAATTTATAAGTCCCTAATGTGATTTTGTGAATCCTGCTTATGTGCATACTGTCGGAAGACCACAAGGAAAGTATATTCATACTGCCAAGATGCATATTTACTTGATCTTAACGTTGTGATGATATTGTGAAGCAAATTAAAACAATGTGCCCAGTTTTTTTATCTGCTGTATGTTGAAATTGATAAGCAATAGTTCCTAAGAAATATAATTCTTTTATTAAAACAAATGTGCATTGCACATGTCATTCCCTTTTCCTGGTCTACTCTCTCTCTCTCACTTACGTACTTATATGGCCCCTATTGCCTGAGTATCTGAGCATCTCATGAGTTTTATTATATTTATCTTCCCCAACACCCTTGTGAGGTAGGGAAGTGCTATTAACTCCATCTCCAAGCGGTGCTTCTCTGCCTCTGCCTCCAAGCATTTCTCCTCTTTCCTCTCCTCTGCTTCCAACTCCAAGCGTTTTAAGGCTATCTATCTGTCATGTTCTTTTTGTCTCTCTTCAGCTTCAAATTTAGCTAATTCTAGTTTCTGTTGGACCTTGTTTGTTGACATCCTAGCTTCTGCTTGCCTAGCTTACCCAAGAACTAAAAAGAAAAAAAAATCCTGCTTGTGAATTTCCTGGCTGTAGCTAACACCTTTGTTTAAAAAAAACCCCTAACTCCTTTTCCTCCAGGCAAAGAAAGAGAAAAGAAAAAAAACCTCCAGCTGTTCTCAGCTCCTGCTTTCCCCAAGCAGCTAAAAGAAGAGAAAAGAATTCCTAAGGTTTGTGCTTCTGATTCAAAATTATCTCTGGTTCCAAATGATCCCAGCGCTCTGCCACCATGTCAGGGTTCCTTCCCCACTCTCAACTTTGGGGTACAGGTGTGGGGACCCGCATGCAAGACCCCCTAAGCTTATTTTTTCCAGCTTAGGTTAAACTTTCCCAAAGCACAAAGTCCACCTTGTCCTTGAACAGTATGCTGTCACCACCAAGTGATTTAGACAAAGAATCAGGGAAAGTTCCACTTGGAGTTCCTGTTTCCACAAAATATCCCCCTAAGCCCTAACACGCCCTTTCCTGGGGAGGCTTGAGAATAATATCCTAACTAATTGGTACAAAGTGAACACAGACCCAAATCCTTGGATCTTTGGACACTGAAAAGAAAATCAATCCATTCTTAAAAGAAGAATTTTATTTAAAAAAAAAAAGAAAAGGTAAAAATCCCCTCCTTAAAATCAGGTTGGAAGATAACTTTACAGGGTAACAAAAGATGCACAAAACACAGAGGAACCCCTTCTAGACTTAGTTTCAAAGATACAACAAAACACGGATAAACCTCCCTCCAGCAAAGGGAGAATTTACAAGTTGAGAAAACAAAGATAAACTAATACGCCTTGCCTGGCTGTACTAACAACTTCTGTAATATAAGAGACTGGTTCAGAATGGTTTGGAGGACATGGATTGATGTCCCAAGAGCGAACGAACACAGAAACAAAGAACCCAAAACAAAGCCTCCTACCCCCCAATGTGAAAGTATCTTTTGTCCCCATTGGTTCCTTTGTTCAGGTGCCAACCGGATTATTTGAGCTTCTTAACCCCTTACAGGTAAGGAGGAATTTTAGGCTACCCTTATGGTTAAGACAGCCCCCATTGCCCAAGAATCTGAGCATCTCATGAGTTTTATTGTATTTATCTTCCCCAACACTCTTGTGAGGTAAGGAAGTGCTATTATGCTCATTTTACAGATCAGGAATAGAGAAACTAAGGCCCAGATTCACAAAGGTACTTAGGAGCCTAAACCAGATTTAGGCACCTAACTCCCATTTGTAGAGTTCACTACAATCCACAAAACTCCTTTCTGGCTGCCACCTAACCCTTTAGGTGCCTAAATTCACTCAGTGCCTAAAGTTTCATTATAAAAGTTCCCCAGTTTCTGCCTCTGGGCATGCATATTGCTGCTTCACTCTAGCTACACAGATGTCTATCTCCCCTCTAAGCCCTAGAGTGATCCATAAACCAGGGGAAGGTAGGTGGAGGAGTACCTAACTCACCCATGGGGACCAATTCAGTAGGTCTGCTCTGAACCTGCCTGCTGGACTGGGTCCCATTCAAAATCCTCATGGTAGTGAGAATAGTGAGATTACAAGTTTGGCTGATGAAGTTAATAGTGTTGGTGTAATATATTTAGACTTCTGTAAGAATTTGGCTTAGTACCACATGACATTTTGATTAAAAAACTAGAATAATACAAAATTAAAATGGCACACATTAAGTGGATTAAAAACTGGCTAACTGATAGGTCTCGATCTAACTATAAACAGCATAATCGAGCAGGTGTGTTTCCAGGGGGGTCCTGTGGGGATCGGTTCGGGGCTCTATGCTATTTAACATTTATAACAATAATGATCTGGAAGAAAACTTAAAATCATCATTGATAAAGTTTGCAGACAATGCAAAAACTGGGTAACTAGTAAATGATGAAGAGGACAGGTCACTGATTCAGAACAATCTGGACCACTTGGTAAATTGGGAGCAAGCAAACAATATGCATTTTAATATGGCTAAATATAAACATATATATCTAGAAACAAAGAATGTAGGCCATAGTCACACAATGGGAGACTCTATCCTGGGAAGCAGTGACTCTGAAAAAGATTTGGGGGATATGACAGATAAACAGCTGAACATGATTTCCCAGTGTGACACGTATGGCCCAAGAGCTTATGTGATCCTGGGGACGCTTCATAAACAGGGGAATCTCAAGTAGGAGGAGAGAGATTATTTTACCTCTGTATTGGCTACTGGTGGACCACTGTTGGAATATTGTGTTCAGTTCTGGTGCCCACAATTCAAGAAGGATGATAATAAATTAGAGATGGCTCATAGAAGAGCCATGAGAATGATTAAAGGATTAGAAAACATGCCCTGTAGTGATAAATTCAAGGAGGTCAATCTATTTAGCTTAATGAAGAGAAGGTTAAGGGTTGAATTGTTTAGTCTACAAGTATCTACATGGGGGGCGGGAAATATTTAGTAATGAGCTCTTCCATGCTGCAGAAGAAGGTCTAACACTATCCTGTGGCTGCAAGTGGAACCTAGACAAATTCAGACTAGAAATAAGGTGTATATTTTTAACCGCGAGAGTAATTAACCATTAGAATAATTTAAAATGGTTGTGGTGGATTCTCCATCAATGACAATTTTAAAATCAAGATTGGATGTTTTTCTAAAAGCTCTGCTCTCGGAATTATTTGGGGAAAGTTCTATGGCCTGTGTTATATAGGAGGTCAGACTAGATGATCACAGTGGTACCTTCTGGCCTTGGAATCTATGAATCTGTAAATTTGGTGCTTCTTTTTGCTAACCAGGAGGATACACTGTATCTATATACATTTATTTAAGCTATGATATCGCTTAATTTACATTTATTCAGATTCTTAACCTTTACCATTTTTGTGTTAGAAAATGGTTAACAATGCAGTTCTTGTATATTAGATGACGATTCATTTTTATATGTGATTTGTGTCAAGTTCTTTGAATAGAAATTCAAATTAAATTTAAAATGCTCGAAAATAGCATTTTAAATGTTTTTTTATTTGTTAAATAAAACTACCTTAACTATCCTGGATCCATAAGAAAAATACAGTAAGTTTACTAAAAACGTGTTTTGCATTTAAAACCAACTGATTTATTAAACAAAGGAAGTAGTTAGTGAATTGGACTGATTGTTTCTGGTCACCAAGTCAGGTGAGATTTTAGAACTAGTAGATCTCATTCTCTCCCATCTAGTTTTTATTAATAGATCTGAAGAGGCAAAACAAGGTTTCCGGGTTTTTTTCAATTCCCACTGGTTTTTTAACTTTTAATTAACTAGTCAGCGAACTGAACTAGTTGAATAAACTGAAATTAAAAAAAACATTCTCCCTGCAACTGCAGAAAAGGCTACTTGCTGTCAAAAGCTGGATTAGCACTTCAACAAATTCTGGTTTCAGGTGCTTCACCTGACTTCCAACAGGTGAAGTGGGTTGACTTTATTTAAATGTTGCAAGCAAACATATACTCCTTAAATTATTAATTTCTATTTAATTTAAATGATTTCAATAGATTATTTTAACTTTCAGCCTTAACATAAGTAGTCCTAATTTTGAATTTAATTTTAAATAGGTGTATTTTTTAAAAAAACCTGTTTTTAATTTACATTTAAAAAACAATCTCACGTAATCAGTCCCCTCTATTCGACATTGGTGAGGCCTCATCTGGAGTACTGTGTCCAGTTTTGAGCCCCACACTACAAGAAGGATGTGGAAAAATTGAAAAACGTCCAGCGGAGGGCAACAAAAATGATTAGGGGGCTGGAACACATGATTTATGAGGAGAGGCTGAGGGAACTGGGATTGTTTAGTCTACAGAAGAGAAGAATGAGGGGGGATTTGATAGCTGCTTTTAACTATCTGAAAGGGGGTTCCAAAGAGGATGGATCTAGACTGTTCTCAGTGGTAGCTGATGACAGAACGAGGAGTAATGGTCTCAAGTTGCAGTGTGGGAGGTTTAGGTTGGATATTAAGAAAAACTTTTTCACTAGGAGGGTGGTGAAACACTGGAATGCGTTACCTAGGGAGGTGGTGGAATCTCCTTACTTAGATATTTTTAAGGTCAGGCTTGACAAAGCCCTGGTTGGGATGTTTTAGTTGGGGATTGGTCCTGCTTTGAGCAGGGGGTTGGACTAGATGACCTCCTGAGGTCCCTTCCAACCCTGATATTCTATGATTCTATGCACTACTGAGGTGTTCCCTCAGAATTCTTTCAGCCAGTAATCTGTCTGAGAAGCAGCTACTAAGGTACATCTTTTAGCAGCCACTTCAGCCTCAATTAACTTTGGTTAAAGCTTGATAGTGATGTTCAACCTATCCCAGAAAATAAAGAGAATGTCTGTTTTTCTAGCAAATATGAAGCAAAAATGGACAGTTCTGGAGGTCACAATCTAGTGTACTGCAGAGCCTAATTTAAAGCACATATTGGCTGAAGAACAAACACTTCTGATGCACTAAGCTATTCTCTAACCATTGATGGTTAGGAGGCTACTTGCCTATGGTAAGAAAAAACCTTGGTTTTCAAGCCATTTAGCTTGCTAAATTAGGTGTTAGTTTGCGTATTATCTTTTATTTTCTTTATAACCCATTCTGACTTTATGCCCCATTACTTGCAGTCACTTAAAATCTATCTTTCTGTAGTTAATAAACTTGCTTATTGTTTTATCTAAACCCATGTGTGTTTGGATTGAAGTGTCATGGAACCTCCACTTGAGATGATAAGGTTTCTGCTTATCATTTTCCATTGATGAAATGACTGACTTTTTATAGGAGCTTGCATTGTCCAGTAGAGAGCTGGGCAGTACAAGATGCACATTTCTGGGGGCAGGGTCTGGGACTGGGAAGTCACTGGTGTCACCCTGTAATGTAATTCAGCTGGGAGTGATTCTGCATGCTAGAGACTATGTGAAAGCAGGACCAGGAGTGGTTGCTCTCACAGCAAAGCAGTATAAAAGGCACCCCAGGTTGGAGATATGAAGGGACGCAGCTGTCCAACAATCCAGATTATAGCCTGAGGAATGTCGCAAGGGCAATTCCTATCTTCAGCAAAACTGACTCAGAATAGAGTTGGGCAAACAATAAATGGCTGTTCACAGACAGTAAGCTAGATTGTGTGGTTACCTCATACTATATAGCACATGACCATCTGGGAACACTCGCAACATGATGTTGTCAGTGGTTGTGTCATGAATGAATGATCTTTTGGAGTGCACAAAGAAGACATCTGGAACCCAAATCTTCTTCACCAGCCTGCCATCAAACGTCATGCTCTTGTTAGTGAAGCTAGGAAATGAGAGGCGTTCATCCTTCCAGTAGTGCCTTAAGTACAGTGTCATAGTAAAGTCCTGCACCAGAAGAAAAGAGAACCATGAAAGAATGTGTCACAATGATGCCTTCCAAACATTAGAAAGGAAATCATCTATTGCTATACTAATATGTCTCATACAGATTGAATCTCTTCTCTGCTAAGCATGGTTTTCTTCCTCAGGCTAATTCCACAGAACAGTTTCCCGTAGACATGAAGCATTCTGGGAAAGTTCCACAGCCCAAACATTTTTTGTGTCCTACATTACAAACACCCTAACAGAGTAACATGCAGATATCAATGCATTCCCGCCAAGTACTACAGGACAGTAATACAATGTTAATACAATTTGTAGCAGGTGTTCCTTAGAAGCTATTAGTCTATAGGACACATTGAAATTCAACCTTCAAAGGAAAATACATATCACTATATCAGTACAGGCTTTTTGAATTCTGACAGAATGTTAGTTAAAGGATAATCATATACCCAGTCTGCTTGAAAAAATAAAATCTTGTTCAAATTAGCTAAGGTATGAGTCTGAGCACTGAGCAACGTATCCTAGAGAAAGAATCATATTATTCCCAACAACAGTAGAGTGATGGGACTGTTATCCCTATTCTAGAAGTATATAAATAAAAATTCACTTTAAACCTGGAAAACACCTACAGCAGCATAAAGAAAAATATCTGTTTCTGCCATTGATCCCAACCTGTCAGCTGCATCTTCCTAAACTAAATAACCCCTTCATACTTAGAGATTAAAATGTAATTATTTTTATGTTCCCCATTAAGCAATTTGCTACAAAAGTAGTTTCAAAAGCCCTGCCTGCCTGGGCTCGAGGAAGAGCAGCTCACATACAGTTCCCGCCCCCAGTGGTGCAGCAGTAGTTAAAAAACCTTACTAAGAGCATGTTTGAAAGGACTCGTTTTTACACACACAATATTGAGATGGTGTGGTCACTGGCTGATGTCATCTTGGTCTCTTTTCCCACAAAGCAGTCAGATATTCACAGACGCAGTAGTAGCTTACAGTTGATGGATTAAAGGTATCTGATTTAACGGACCAAGATCTAATCTGGTTGAGCAACCCCTATGGTCCTTTGGCACTACTAGAGCCAGTCTAATCGATTGCAGCTTCTTACTTACTAGCTGGGAGACAAGGAGGTGCCATCTGCAACTGTCAGAAGCAAAATGATTAATTTAGGGCTGCAGATTTAAAGGTTGGACTACCAGGATAGCACGCTAAGAAAGGTTCTTATTAAAAGGCTAAACCCATGCTGGCCAGGGGCCCTATTCTCCTGCTACAGGATGCAAGGATACAATTTCAGTGGGAATAACTCATATCCTATGGTTGAAGAACAAAGCCCCAGGCAGTCAGAGAGATGTAACTCAAGGGAAAAGGGAGCAGAATTCACAGCTTTCTGAGGGGCAAGGATCTAGGTCAGTGACCCCCAAATTTTTTATCTCGTACCCTCTTCCGCCCAGAGCTAGGGCTGGGAGTGGGGACCCGACTCTGGAAGTGGGAGACATGGATAGGGGTAAGGGGGACACAGCTGGGGCCAGGAGTGGAGCCTAGGCCAGGGGCTAAGGCTGGCAGCTGGGGCAGCAGCTGGGGTCGAGGCCAGGAGCAGAGCTGGGTGGTGCTCCCTCCCTGGCCTGGGCCCAGCCATACCCCCTGAATGTTCCTCTGTGCTGCCCCCAGGGGGGCACGCCCCACAGTTTGGGGACCTTTGATCTAGGTAAAGCCTGAGGTTTCCTGGGTAAAGACTAGCGTGTTATTTAATGAGCTACCTAGGGCTTAGTTTTGCTATATTATCTTGAAACATCAGAGATCTGGTTCCCTTGCACTGGTTGCTTTCTGTGGATTTTCCACCACATTGTCACTCACATCCCATAGAAAATCCCTGCTTTCAATATCAATGCTCACAAGCCAAGTTCTTATAATGAGGATCCAACTGTGGCTTGATAAAATCCAATCAATCTTTCAATTCTTATTGCTAGAGGAAATTATAATTTGTTTTGTATCAGATAGGATACAAAGCAAGCTGTCCTCAGCAGTATGTTTAACACTGTAACTACAACCTAAAGGGAAAAATTCTAGCTTTAGGTCTGATCCTCAGTTTTTCAAACGGGAAAACGGCTTGTTTTCTCATTTGATGATATGCTCCCTTGTATAGCAAAGTCAGAACGACGGTGGCACAAAAGGACTACAGGACAGTAATATTAACTGTTTGTATTAAAGACAAAAATACTGTGGAGTTTAGGTATTAAGCTAAAACCCTGTCCTTAGCCCTGCAGATTATGCCTAGATACCACACTCCATGATATGTAAGAGGAACAGTGAGGAAGGGGATGAAGGGAAAGTGGAAAAGAGAAGATTCCCTCTTTTTTTTCTCCTCCTTTTCCCATTTCATTTCTTTTTCTCTCCAGTCTTTTTGCTCCATCTTTCTCCAGCACAAAGCAGGAGACTGAGAGAATAGCTCTCTCACATATACCTTTTACTGCCAGTAGCACTTATTTGTTGAGATTTGGATCCATATTTCTTTCCTTTCTAAAAAACACAATAACAATAAATTACAACTGAATTTAGTGCTGTTGCTAAACTCTGGAGTAGCAGCACTGATGACTGAAATCTGGTTATCCATCACAAATTCAGCACAGATAGAAGCAGAGTCCATTCTGAATTGGAGGGACTGCCTATACAGATGAGAAGGTAGGAAGCAGCTTGTTTTGATTTATTATACTAATTCGTTCTTCTAATGTTCCCCTCAGATCCATACATTTGAGAATAGATTTTCTGTTTCCATAATAAATTTAAAAATAAGTAAGGCTTTGATGATCCTCACAAAAGTTTTTATAGCTACCTGAACCCAAGTGACCTGAATTCTGCTATGGGGTACAATGAAATGACCACAGTAGGCAACTGTTCATATTCCTGACTCCTGCATATCCACCAAGATCATGCTCATCTTCTTTTCAAGGTCTCTGTTCCCTTGGAATTTTAATCATCTTTATCTGAAGTCCTCACGATGACTCTTTGAACAGAGTCAATCTTTATTAAGATGTTAATTCTGATTATGGGCCTTTCAAAATTGCTAAAAGTTGTTTTTAACTGCATTTGCCTTCATCTGACAGCTAAACTGAAATCCATATAGGGACTTATCCTGACTAGGAATAATCAAGGCTTAAAATAGTGTTACATACCATATCAACCTCAGAAATACTATCCAAGCTTTCAACCTGTACATCTACTCCAACAGGAATGGCAGGACCTGTGGTAGAATGAGATTTAGACATTTAAATACCATCCCTTTTATATCATCTGACTTTAGTTACCTTTATAAAATAGCGTTCAAAACATTTTGGGGCTGATGATGTAATTTCTTGTACCTGTGGTTCCTTGAAGAGAAAGCCACAATAATAATCCCAATATCTTTTTTCCTCTTTCCATGTCTCCAGCACTGACACTACCTATGTATGGCTCATCCATAGCCGGGGTGAAGCATTTTGGAAAGGAGCCAGCCCATTATAAATCTTAGTTCTTTATGAAGAAATCCCAAGGAAGATACAGGAAAATAAGAGGAAGAAACCACAATCCTTGCGATTTCACTTTGCTGATAACAAAAGGAATGGGGGGAAAAAAACCCTCACAATGTGACAAGCTCCATTCATCTTGTGTGAATTTTTGAGAGCGCTGTCATTTTTTAATAGATTTTTCTTTCTCCTCTTCTCTCATTCCTTTGTCCGTTGTGGATAATCTCTCCTCTCCCTCCTTTTTCCAGTCTCTCCTAAACGGAATTTGAACTCAAAGAAGTTCAATCTGAATCAAACTTTCAAACATTCAGTATTCAGGTGTGCTTGAAGTTAGGCAAAAAGTCCTCACCTGTCCCTAATTTGAAGTTGCTATCATTATGCAGTTGCGTTAGTTGTGCTTTAAAGAATTTTATGTTGTGACAAAGCCATATCTTGTAAGCGGTTCCAGGCAAGGACCATGACACCTCCGTGTTTGTATAGCACCTAGCTCAATGGGGGAAGGTTGGGGGGAGGGGGAAGTAGGGTCCTGATCCTGATCTATAAGTGCTACTTTTATATCAATATTAAATAAGAATATAACGACACCATCATGAAAACTAATTCCAGTAGCAAGCACTTTAAATAACATACATTTAACAAGACAGCTAGAAAACCTCTGTTCTGATAATGCACTAGGGCTTTTAGCTTGCAAGATATCATCTACCCTACTGCCATTTCTGCTGTGGCACATGGACTCCCAACATCTGTTGGAGGCGGGGGGGGGGGTCACACGTTGGATAAAACCTTATATCCATTTATGTTGTAGAAAAGGGGAGTTCACACAGAGCAGCAGGTGCTTCGGTAGGATAAGTCAGCACAGTGTCAGTAGAGCATGAATCCAGGCTGATTACCTGCAATGATAGTGCCAGTTCTTTGACACCTCCCACTGAGGTACAATACAGTGCAAGGGCAAGGTGAAAGGAGCACTAGCCAGTGACATAGCTGACCTGTTCCATTTATATTGCTGCAGCCTTCTGCATTCACACAGGTTTTCAGTGGCCATGCTGTTCCGGAGAAGCATAGCAACAGTCTCAGAAATATTTGCCTGACTGAGTTACTGAATGTGCTAATAAGGATTCCACCTTGGGACAAAAACACGTGAGGTGGAATTTCAAGTATGTATTTTGGGCTTGATCGTGAAAGGTGTGGAGCAGTCTGACCACAACCAGCAACATACTTCAACATGTGCTTACCTCTAAGCATGAGAGCGGGCCCATTGAAGCAGAAGGTATTCTGCCCGGCCTACTGTGTTACGCGGTTGCAGGTGGAACCGTGTAGTTATGGATCCATTAGCCACACTTGCCACTCACACCCCTTCCCCACAACTTGCCTTCATAGATTCATAGATACTAAGGTCAGAAGGGACCATTATGATTATCTCGTCCGACCTCCTGCACAAGGCAGGCCTTCCTCAAACACTTTTCGTGATGCCACAGAGGACCCCCTACAAATGAAAGCTGCATGGGGTGAGGAATGCACTGCACAAGCTCCCAACAGAATCCCAGCTTGAAGCTATACTGGTTTTCATAGAATCATAGGACTGGAAGGAATCTCGAGAGGTCTAGTCCAGTCCCCCGTATGTATGGCAGGACTAAGTATTATCTAGACCATCCCTGACAGGTGTTCGTCTAATCCGCTCTTAAAAATCTCCAATGGTGGAGATTGCACCACCTCCTTAGGCAATTTATTCCAGTGCTTAACCACCCTGACAGTTTTTCCTAATGTCCAACCTAAACCACCCTTGCTGCAATTTAAGCTCATTGCTTTTTGTCCTATCCTCAGAGGTTAACAAGAACAATTTTTCTCCCTCCTCCTTGTAACGACCTTTTATGTACTTGAAAATTGTTATCATGTCCCCCCTCAGTCTTCTTGTCTCCAGACTAAACAAACCCAGTTTTTTCAATCTTCCCTTGTAGGTCATGTTTTCTAGACCTTTAATCATTTTTGTTGCTCTTCGCTGGACTTTCTCCAATTTCTCCACATCTTTCCTGAAATGTGGCACCCAGAACTGGACACAATACTCCAGTTGAGGCCTAATCAGCATCGAGTAGAGTGGAAGGATTACTTCTTGTGTCTTGCTTACAACACTCCTGCTAATACATTCCAGAATGATGTTTGCATTAGGTATTGTATTTCCCTAGTTTGTTTATGAGAAGGTCATGTGAGACAGTATCAAAAGTCTTACTAAAGTCAAGATATACCACATTCCCCCATTCACAAGGCTTGATACCCTGTCCAAGAAAGCTATTAAGTTGGTTTGACACCATTTGTTCTTGACAAATCCAGGGTGACTGTTACTTATCACCACCTACTTTTGTTGCCTTATGGGCCCTGGTGATGGGGCAAGGGAGGATTTGGGCTTTATGAAAAGGGAGTCATTAAAGGTGGAAGGGCATGGCACAGATTTTATTTATACTTGAAGGTTTAAATGTGCGTACAAATGAATAGAAGCAATGTAAGTACCTAATGTCATTGGAACTAAGCAACTACGCAAGCCCAGTTCAGTTAGGTGTGGTGGTGAGGAGCCAAGAAGCCCCGAAAGCCCCAGTTCCCAAACTCCCAGTCTCCCTAGCTCACCTGGCAGGCTGCCACAGAGCCAGGAAGCCTGACAAGGGGGGAACTGGAAATTTTTTAAAATTCTGTTTTGGTTCTTCCAACATGATTTGTTTTTTAAATTTCCCTCTCATGGGAAATGTTGTAGATCTGGTTTTTGACTCTGATTTGCAATGAATTTTTTTTTTCCTGAATGACAACTTTTCCACAGGAGGGAAATTCCAGTTCCTGCACAGCTGCAGTGATAAAAGCTCTGCATGTGTGAGGGAGAACCCATTCTTGTATAAGAAACGGAGACAGTGACTGTGCAACTCAAGCATTTATTTTTGTATCAGAATCACTCCAGAATTCAAAATGCACTCAGACTGAGTATAACTTTAATACCTGACAAATCCCTGCCTAGCACAACGGGTGGTGAGTAGTTCATTTCCTTTGAAAACAAATGAGAAAAACTTCCCAGATTATAAATCTGCCTATATTAAACTTTAAAAGAAGACAGACATGAGAAGATTAGTGAATAGACTGTTCTCTAGGTCAGTGACTCTCAAGCTGTGATCTGTAGACACTTGGTGGTCCATGCAGAGCTGGCTGCGTTTTATTGAAGACAGATAAGAACACCGTTTTTTTCCCCTAATGTTACAAGTGAGAGATTGCTTTAGTGGCTACCAGGATGTTAAGGTGAATGGGAGGTGAGGCAGCCCACAAAATCTAAAGTGCAAGTGGAGTTGTCTACAAGAAAATTCCTCTGTTGAGATGGGGCCCTCACTATGAGTACACGTACACTGGGAAAACTTGTACATGTTTTTCTGCCCCATTCTAGGTTCACTGGTGGTAGTGATAGTGGAAGCTGTAGAACAGGTGAGTGGCAAGTAATGTTTCCATTGTTGCCACCATTGATGGAGCTGAAAAATGAATTTTCCTAATGTAGACAAGGCTTGAGAAAATGTTTAAGAACCCTTCCTCTAGGTCTACTTGTTTAATTAGTGTGAGCCTTGTTCATCCTTGAAAAAACAGGACTAGTTGGTGAGTAACAAATCAAATAAGTGCATGCCACATAAAATAATCCCTACATCTGCTGCTGATCCAACTGTAGCATTTGTCCACACACCAACCACTACATTTACTGTGGGCTGGGAAGGAATTCATGAGCAGGAGCAAACATGACACAATCACATCATTTTCTTTTCAGATCTTTTTTCACTGTTTTCCTTTTTTAAGCTCTACTTCTTTGTCATGTATTTTCCTTTGGTTTCCTTCACACTCTCTGAGGTGCTGCTTAAGGCTGTTAAATTTATAGTTTGCTCCATGTGATAGGAACATGTGTCCACAAGAAATTAGTCAATCTCGTTAACCATCAACTCATTTCACATATTCTGTCATAGTGAAATGTTGTAAAGTTCTGGTTTTGGTAAACTGTAATGGGGACTTAATTTTATTTTAAGTGCAAGTACTTTATAAATCAGCAGGTTTTAGTATTTTAGTGTTTATTCAGCCTCTTCAATTGACTAGCTGTGGAGTCTAATAAGGTGAAATCAGTCAATTAATTTGTATCATACATGTGGCATTTTAATACATTGATTTCCCATTTGAAGTTGTTTATATCGGTTTAAACCTTGGACACATCCACACCTTATTCAACTCTGTGATTATTTAGACTATCAAGTGACCTAAAATTATTAGCCATGTTACTATTTAAAAATGTCAAATATTAAGACAAATATCTTTATGACATTGTAAAGGAATGTTCTACTCAGTTAATTCCAGATCTCTTTAATAAGGTAGACTTTCAAGTAGTTAACATCATGTTTCTGTTTATAACAAGGTCATTTTTGACTTGCAGTAAAATCAGTGGGGCAGAAACACAATTGTGGTAATAGCCATTATATAAAATTAATGTCCATTAAAAAGTCTTCTTTGCTCAAATATGTAGGGATGCTATACTGTGGGCCATGGTATGAATGAATAATAATAGTCTTTTTATTAATTCCCTTGATATCTTTGGCTAGACGGCATACATTCACTATAACAATATTCATTTAGTTGACCCTATGATATGTCTCTCCAGCCTGTTTGTTAGAAAAGATCACAGCTCTGAGTATGACAGTAAGGGAGGTTTTTTAAATTAATTCATTTTCTTATACACAGC